AGAGAGAGAGAGAGAGAGAGAGCGTGACAAAGAGAAGCAGGATGGTCGACGTGTTGACAACAGGACACCCATGCCTTTTGACATAAACAAAATTCAAGGATTATATTGAAAGAGATTAGAAGAAAGAAATATCCCCCATCCCTTAAACTCTTTAACCCTATCCGTATGCCCTGGGGTCATTTTGTAACCCTGGGGTTGTATTCTTAACATTTTAGAATACTTCTAGTACCAAGATCTCTTTGAAACTTTCAGTACATTATTTCTCAAAAAATCATTTTGCCAGACTGCTATGCAAAGCCTACGGATTGGATTAACGAGTAAATGTCCTCTTTGGAAAGTGGTGGCACAGAGTTCTCCATGTCGTATGGATACGATAGTAAAACACGATGTACGGATAGGGTTAAACAAAAAAACAAAATAAAATCCAAATCCCCCCCTCCCCCACTTTTCTTTTAAACAAGAGACCTGCATAATTGACAACATCTATGCCTAAATGGTTTCTTTTTCAGACATGACACAAATCAAATAAATGTTCTACATTAGTATTTTATATTTGTAAGTGTGCCAACAAAAAAGAAATTGTTATAAATGTGGTACATGACAAGAGTAGTGTTCACAATTTCAGTCAGTTATCTAGCTGCACACACAAAATAGCACCAGTGTACATGAACAGACTTTTCAAAAACTTCCAAACTAGAACCACGCTCACCCCATGCACATGTCCAGTAAGTACAGTAGGCTACACATAGAGTATAGATAACAACAGTGCTGGATAAACTCCGCTGTAAACACATAATTTGGTAAGTTCACTGAAAGCAAGCAGCTTTCTAATACTGGGACGGCAGTTCGACTTATGGCAAATATATTTTATAATAATAATACTGTAATATAATTCTACTGGCACTGACACACACACAGCCACTTAAATAAACTTAGAGTTGCAAGGGGTACAATTTTGCATTTTTGCCTTTTCGTGTGCACACAAGTGCACACAAACGCGCGCACACACTCACACAAATATATACACGTGCACAAACACACACACATATAAATCACATATCCACACACACACACAGGCACACAACATGCACACACACACTCTTAAATACTTAAATACACAACACAGTTGACAAACACACATGCACATTCAATTCTACAATGCACAGCAGTCTTCTATCAAATATGTGTGAAATATACTTCGATGTTACGACAGCATACAATAGTCTCCATTTACATACATACTCGGAGATAGATTCAATTCTACAACATACCACTGTGACACTACACAATTACCGTAACTCACTCTTAATACGGTACTAAAACACACTACACAGTCTCCATCCACACACATGGATTTAATTCCACAACACACCACAGAGACACCACAAACCTCCCTAAACACATTCTTAATACTAGAACACACACCACTCTCCACACTTACGGACTCTTCAATTCTGCAACACACCACTGAGACACAACACAGTCCCTTTTGGCACACTATTAATTAAAACAACAACATACAACTCAGCCTCCATATACACACATATTATTATATGTACCAGTAGACTCAATTCTACAACACACCACTGAGACAGAGACACCACAGTCCCCTACACACACTATTAATACTACTACACACAACAGTCTTTCGTTTTAGTTTTAGTAGAGGTTTTACAGCGCTCGCAACTGCATAAGGTCATATGAGCGCCAAGAGGTGGATGTCAACAAAGAAGTCCTTACAGGGAATCAGACTTACTCTGCTCACCTCTCTAGCTTCAGAAGCACAAAGTCTGCTTCGACTATTAAGGCACCCTGGAAATAGCGGGTCACAAGAGTGTGACAAACATACAAAAGAAGTAGAGGAAAATTACGATAGTAAGGATTAGAAAAAAAAAAGCAGCAGTTCCTTGTTGTAGCTCAGGCACAGTTATGAGCATGACATTGTTAGATCAGCCCATTTACAATTCTACTGTACACTAGAACGAGAAATGTCCCCCCTTTGGGAATGGCCTACAGACAATTCAGTCAGTGGCACCGCCCCGGGCAGACACAACAGTCTCCATATACACATATTATCGGTAGTCTCAATTCTACAACACACCACTGAGACGCCACACAGTCCCCTACACACATCACAGTCTCCGTATTATTATTATTATTATTATAGACAAGAGTAGACTCAGTTCTACAACACACCACTGAGACGCCACACAGTCCCCTACACACATCACAGTCTCCGTATTATTATTATTATAGACTAGGGGTGGGCAAAATCCGGATAAATATCCGGATAATCGGATAATCCTCAATAAAACATTATCCAAATTCAGACTCTTAACTCTCTTTCCTGACCCCTTTGCCGAAGTGGGTGCACCCATTTGTTGAAGTGATGCTAACCCGTCTGTCAAAGTGGTTCTAACCCATTTGCCGAAGCGGTTTACAACATATTATTTACCAAAGAGGCGCACTAACACATTATTCGGATTTTGCAAAAGCGACTCAGTGCCCAGCACTATTATAGACAAGAGTAGACTAAGTTCTATAACACACCACTAAGACACCACACAATCCCTTACACACGCGCTTAATACAACAAAACACAACACAAATCTCCAAGCTATGCACACAGATCTCAGTTCTACAACACACTACGGAGACACCACACAGTCCCTTTTGACACACTATGAATACTACAGCACACAACAAGTCAGTCCCCTCCTGACATCGCAGAGTCCCTTACTCAATCTGCACACACCTTTAAAACATTGTCCTCTCCAACTGTACCACACCGCTGTGACACCTCACAGTTCCCTCCACACACATATGGTTGCTTTTAAGGAAACGCAGGCTAACCCAGATTTCGGGGGTTTCCAGAAATCTTGACCTGCACCAAAAAAGGGCATTGCCCCACCTATAGGATAAGTTTGGTTTCATTGGTGCACAAATTTGTTTGGTTATAGAGAAAACTCTCCTTGTCTTTTAAAGAAACTGAACAAGGGGCAAAAATGTTACCTTCAATTTTTCAAAACAGCATTTTTCAGGATAGCCCCCTTGTGCTTAAAAGCGCCCATATAATAATACAAGTCTTTAAACAACAACACACAGCAGTCCAAAACATAAACTATGATAAACACTCACTCAATCTAATTACAAGACACACATTCATGCACACTAAGGTACGGTACAACCTTTAGAAAAACAAACAACCACGAGCTCACTGAACAGCGACAGAAATGTCAGACAAAAGATACTTCTCACACTTGCCTTCATTCTCTACCACTGTAGCCAATGCTTGGAGCCTCTTTAGCCTGTGCCACTTTTCTAGCAATTTTCAGTCTGGTACAAACACTTTGTGAAGGAGGAAGACCTCACCATCTCTCTTTCTTCACGTAGACATCGGAGAAACCTGAACTCCCACCTGGCATCTCCTGCTCCATCTCACGCCACGCTTCAAACTCCTCTGTCATGAGAAGATAGCTCTTCATCTTCCTCGCGATGGGCAGAGCATCCGCCCTGGCCTCCAGCGGCGAGCTGAGACAAGCCCGGATGCAGCGCCGGCACGCGTCGCTGAGAGAGAAGGGCGTGCGCAGGCTGTGACTGAACACACGCAGGATGTCTGCCTTCTGCTTCTCCGAGTAGTGCACCGTCAGAGCCTGGGTCTTCCTCAGAAGCATGGCCAGGAGGTGGATCGTACGGCGCGGGACCGACCTGGGGAAACATACAGCCGCTTTGTGTTTGAATCTTTTCCCCTCCACATCAACCAAACCTAGATGAATTATTTAAGAGTCAGACTGCTTCAAAAATGGAGCTTCAGAGCCAAACCGGGCAGCACAACTAAAGAAAAACTCGATCTAAAATATTATCTCTGCCCAGTGACTGGACTAACGTCTTTAATATGTTGGGCAAGAGCCTGTCCATTCCAGTGGAGAGCAAAGACTATGCAAGGCATCCCATATCTCTCACCTAGTACCTGTCACACAATGTCTCACCTATAACAAGCCAGCAACATCTTCAGCATGTCCAAGTTCTTGTGCGTCATGGCCAGGAAGAGTGGCTCTAGCCCCAGGTGTGGGTGGGCATCTTCCTGGTGCAGGCAGCACAGCTGTAGACCACGCACCTGAGGAGTAACAAAGCAATATACAGAACAACACCAATAGGCCGAACACAGAAGACTCAATATCACGCATCCGTCAAACTTTACCTGCGGTCCCAGGTTTTTTTTTTCTTCTTTATCTTTGTAAATCTTCGTGTGTAACTTTTTTAAGAGCATCTGAGCAAAGGAATGAATGGAGAAACATGATCGCCGATTTCTGTCACAGATCTGGCACTGGATGATGATGATGATCTTTGTAAGATATGTCTCGAACTATGGACAACTCTAACTACCGAGGCCGATCCTGACGAATTCGAGCTATCCATGTCATACTATAGTAGTCACACATAAGATTTAAACATACAGATGTACATCCCTCACGCACAGCAGACAGGGCTTAATTGATAAACACATACATCATACAAACACATACATTCACGTACAGAACTCTGCTTAACACATAGCCATTTAACAAAAATTCCTCTTACCACGGAAGGACTTCAAATCCTCAGGCATTTTTTTCCCCTCTTTGCAGCTTCTCTTAACACAAAATCTGTATTCAGTAAATATATAATGAGTGCTTTGATGATAAGACAATTCATTTGATTATAAGACATGATTATCAATGCAAACCTTGCGCCAGCGTAGATAATCATGTCTTATTATCAGACACATTGTCCTCAAATTACATCTCCAGTTGTATTATATCTATTCTATACTACATATCCCCCCCCCCACACACACACACACACACAAACACACACATAATTCCTCTATAATTGTTTTTACTGATTTAAAAAAAATAAAAATAGAAATAAATAAAATTAAAATTTAATAAACCAAGCACAGAAATGAACAGAAAAAAATGTTGCAACAACAAGAAGTCAGCTTTTACAGGAGACCCATCTTCTCCTTGCCTATTATCTCTTTCAAATTATTCCAATACAAACAAAAGTTTCCACCACATTCAGAACGAAACCAAGACAAGCAGAAAGTGAGCTCTACATTTTGGTGACACAGTAATAAGATTTCTAGAAGTCTTGTTTCTTTGTTTGTTTTAGTAGAAGTTTTACGGTGCTCGAAACAGCATCAGGTCATATGAGCGCCAGAAGAATAGCGAGGTGTTACACGAGAGTAACAAACATTTTAAAAAAGGGAGATAAAGAAAATAGATGTTTCATAGGAAAGAAAAAGCAAACCACCCCAGAGCACCCGCCAACCACCCACTTCTAGGAGTCTACTGGCTGCCCCTATGTTTGAGTCATAAAAGCTTTGGAAATATAAGGCAGGTTGTATTCCTTCTACATCCAAGTCTCGACATTGTTTGTGGTATAAATACATACAACTTACTGTCGAAACTGTCTAAGACAGCCACCCATTTTCAATGAGAAAAGTGGTCGTCTTAGACACTGTCATTATGATGTAAAAAATAGGCAAGGGAGGAAACTAGTTTTTAGTATTAGTAGCGGTTTGACGGCGCTCGCAACTGCATAAGGTTATATGAGCGCTAGAAGATTAGAGGTGTTACAAGAGAGTAACAAACATAAAAAAGAAGAAGGGGAGATAAGGACGATAGATGTTTGATAGGAAAGAAGGAGCAAACCACACCAGAGCACCCGCCAACCACCCACAAGGGAGGAAATGGGAAGTGACTATTTGTACAGGTGCTCGTCATATACAGATGTCCATTAGAGCAGGCTCAACTGTATGTAATATGTTTTTATACAAATACACTGAAGGCATTTCCAGTAGGGCATGACCACCAAAATCGGGTTAGAGTCCAACAAACACTCATTTGCTATAAGTAGACCAGCATTAGGAATACACACACACACACACACACACACACACACACACACACACACACACACGTGCGCGCGCAGACACACAGATTCACACACAGACACACACACACCTTATGCTGATAATCCAGGTCGCATCCCCACTGCAAGAGGGCTCTAGCAGAGGTGAAACTGTCTTCTGCCAAAGCAGCCATGATGGGAGTCTCTCCCTTCTCATTCATCTGGAGAAGAAAAGACAGACCTAATCATGGATAAAATGCTTATACAGGGTGCCCACTACGACTGGATCGGGCTGATCGCCCGACTCGATCGCCTGAAACTGAAAACAAACACGTTTGATCATGGGCCAAATACTTGGAGAGATTTCATTCATCTGGAGAAGAAAAGACAGACCTGATCATGGGCCAAATACTTTGAGAGATTTTATTCATTTGGAGAAGAGAAGACAGACCTGATCATGGGCCAAATACTTGGAGAGATTTTATTCATTTGGAAAAGAAAAGACAGACATGATCATTGGCCAAATACTTGGAGAGATTTCATTCCTCTGGAGAAGAAAAGACAGACCTAATTATGGGTTAAATACTAAGCCAGTTTTGTTTTAGTAGAGATTTTACGGCGCTCGCAACTGCATAAGATACTAAGCTAAGACTAAGAAAGATTTCATTCATCTAGAGAAGAAAAAGACAGACCTAATCAGGGGCCAAATACTAAGAGATTTACTGATACACAAATGCACCCAATTGACAATAACAACTTAGAGATAAACATATTATGCACCATATACATGTATATATCCACGAAACAGACAGTAAAAAACGTATCTATGAATGTATCTCTCATACTGACAGTAACAAACTTACTGATGAACGCATTTCTCATACAGACAGTGTCAGATTTACTAATGAGCCTATCTACAACACTGACAGTGACAAAGAACATATCTACTCTACTGACAGTGACAAACTTGCTAATGACCATATCCACTCACTGACTGTGATAATCTTACTGAAAAACATACACTCTACAGAAAGTGACAAACTTGCTAAAAATCATATCCACTCCACTGACAGAGATAATCTTACTAAGAACATACACTCTACTGACAGTGACAAACTTACTCAAGAACATATCCACCCTACTGGCAAGGGTAAACTAACACACTGACAAACATATCCACCAGACTGAGAAAGCATTAAATCCCTAGCCCTAGCCACTGCCAACAAAGTGTGTGTTTGTGTGTGCGTAGAGAAACTAAAGGGACAAAAAAAAATACTTCAAGTTCTGCCAACCTGGTTGAGATCACAGCCATACTGGGCCAGGACTTGTATGCAGCCAGACCTGCCATGAGTGGACGCTGCGTGTATAGGCAAGGCTGATGGGAACTCACTGGAGAGGGGGCAGCCATCTTTACTCAGCATATATGTCACAGTGTCCGTAAGGCCGCGAGCGCATGCCAGGTAGAGAGGTGTTTTCTTTTCCTTGGTCATCGCGGCCAAGTCACTTCCTGATGACCAACAAATAGGTGATGTGAACCAGAGGATGAAAACATTGGGCAGCTGTTGGCACACACAGCATGTAGGGGGTGAACGATTTGTTTAAAAAATAGATAAATAATAAAGGCAATAAACAGCAATTGTATAGGGAAGCGGTTGCGAGGAAGAAGTTTGGCTGGTCATATTATCCACATCGGTTTCCTTGTGTGGTTGAGGTATGTCAGTGTTGTCTGTAGCCGAAAGCGTTTTAGTGTTATATCTATGTCTGTAAGTATTTGGCATTTTGTCTCTGTTGTCTGTGTGTTGTGTGATGTCTGTGTTGTCTGCATCTGCTTGTATTGTTGTGTAATGTCTTTGCTGTATTTTATCGGTCTTGTCCGTGTCTGCTTGCATTGTTGTGTAATGTCTGATTTTCCTATGTCTGAAAGTGTTGCAGTGTAATGTTTGTGTTGCTTATGTCTGCTTGTATTGTTGTGTAACGTCTGTGTTGTCTATGTCTGCTTGTATTGTCTGAGTAATGTGTGTGTTGTCTTATTCTGAGAGTGTTGTTGTGAAATGTCTGCATTTCCTGAGTCTGCTTGTATTGTTGTGAAATGTCTGCATTTCCTGTGTCTGCTTGTGTTGTTGTGAAATGTCTGCATTTCCTGTGTCTGCTTGTATTGTTGTGTAATGTCTGTGTTGTCTTATTCTGGGAATATTGTTGTGTTTTATCTGTGTGGTCTGCATAATATAACTATGTCGTTTGTTCCTGGCTGCCGACAAAGAACGTGCTCACTGCAGTGCAAGTATTTTTTCAATCTAACTTTGTCACATTCACATACACAAGACCTTTGAGTGAATACTACAGTTTGCAGAGCATTCAAAGATACAACAGTGAGAGTTGGGACTTGAAAGCCATCGATCTCTGGGATCAACACTACCAGCAGCACAGCAGCAACTATGGGATAGGCCTAAGGTCTACGTGATAGGGTGGTAGTAAGTGCACTGAACACCCTCCCCCACCCCCACCCCTCACCTCCCTGCACATTCATCATCATTCAAGATATCATCGCACCCAGCCAAGCCAATGTTGTACCAGAAGCAAAAGCATGGAACATTCTTGAACCTCACATCTTCAGTAAAACATGCCTCCTCCGAGTCAAGGGGCCTTATGTTTTATTGTTTTGTTTTAGCAGAGGTTTTACGGCCCTCGCAACAGCATAAGGTCATAGGAGCGCCAAGGGGTGAACGTCAACAGAGAAGTCCTTGCAGGGAATCAGACTTACTCTGCTCACCTGTCTAGCTTCAACAGCACAAAGGCTGTTTCAACTATCAAGGCACCCCGGAAATAGTGGGTCATAAGAGTGTGATAAACATACAAAAAAAGTAGTGAAAAAAATGACGATAGTAACGATTAGGAAAGAAAAAGCAGAAGTTCCCTGTTGCAGTTCAGACACAGTTATGAGCATGACATTGATGATTCAGCCCATTTACAATCTGCTGTGCATAAGAGCATGGTTAATGTACCCCCTTTGGGAATGGCCTAAAGACACTTCAGTCAGTAGCACCGTCCCGGGGGGGGGGGGGGGGGGGGGCTTCAGGGGGCCTTAACAGAGACAGCCCTCACCGTGGTCTATAAAGAGTTTGGCAGCGGCCTCGTAGTGTTGGCAAACGGCCTGGTGGAGCGCAGTGTGCAGATCATGGCTCTGAGCCACATTCACCTCGCTGCCCGCGCTTAGGAGTTGGCGCAGAATCTGTGACAGAACAAAATTACATACACTTAACAGAATGTCACAGATGTAGAGAAATCCTTGTTTATTTTGTTTAGTAAGAATTTCACAGCACTTGCAACACAATAAGGTCATATAAGTGCCGAAGATTAGAGATATTACAAGAGAGTAACGTACACAAAAAAGAAAGAGGAGAGATAAGGACGATAGATGGGGAAAGAAGGAGCAAACCACACTAGAGCACCCGCCAACCACCCACAAGTCCTTGTTTTAATATACTTTTCAAGTTCAGGAATACAAAAACAATACAAGAAATGTCGGTGTCTACATGATGTACTACTTGACAAAGAGAAAACAAATAAACTAAACTGCATATTGTAGCACAAAGACAGATAACTTTTGTAAAATTTTTGTCTTCCCTGAAAGTTTACGTACAAGTCACAAAACGCACGCTAATTTTTTCAGAACTTCGTCTTCCCTGGACATTCACATTATTGTTGTCCATAAAAAAGTCACAGTTCACATTTTCCTATAGATCACATACTAAGCGGGTGCTGGACAATTCATGGACTGAGCACTTATCATAACGAAAAACTTTGTCTGATGGACTCACTTGAATATCACAGCGTGAAGAGACAGCAGCAAGCAGGGCATGTTGGCCAGACTTGTTGACCACGTTGACTGCGCAGCCTGAGGTCAGACAATCAATTGCTGTGTAATAAAATCCTTACAACAGGCAATGAATTCTTGTGTAATAAAATCCTTACAAAAAACAGTAACATGTTGAGAAACAAAATCCTTACAAGAGACAAATTTTAAAATGTATTCCTCACAAAAGACAGCATAATGTATTCCTTACAACAGACAGTTTTGCACAATATTCCTTACTACAGATTGTTTGTAATGTACCCTTTATAACGTATGACTTTGCAATGTATTCCTTATGAGACAATTTTGTAATGTATTCCTTACAACAGACAGTAGTGTAGTGTACTATTTCCCTTACAATGGCTACTAGAGCAATATACTTCTTACAAAAGTCAGCTGTGTAATGAACAGACAGCTATGTAATGAATTCCTTACACCAGACAGTAATGTAATGTATTCCTTACAACAGACAGTTGTGTTACAATGAATTCCTTACAACTGACAGCGATGTAATATATTTCCTACAACAGACAGTTGTGTTACAATGAATTCCTTACAACTGACAGTAACGTAATGTATTCCTTACAACAGACAGTCGCGTAATGTACTGTAACATGCAATGTGTGACAAACTGTAGCGCCCATCTTCATTACTTTCCCCAGCCCGTGGCAATGTAGTTTTAGCAGTGAAACCCCAAACAAAGACTTCTGATGCTCGACCACAAGGGGCACAAGACACACAAACGTGTACACTCAGACCTTTTGCCATTTATTCATTTAGTGCCGGGAAAAAGCAAGACTGATAAACAGAAAGAACAGTAGAAAAGTAGGACCTGCCCTGGGCAGACATAGAGACACAGACAGTGCTGACGATATAGATAAATCTAAATTCTTTTTTTTAAAAAGTATTAGTAGGAGTTTTACGGCACTTGCAACACAATTAAGTCATTTAAGTGCCGAAGATTAGAGGTATTAAAAGAGAGTAAAAAACGCAAAAAAGAAGGAGGGGAGATAGAGACGATAGATTTTTATAAGAAAGAAGTAACAAACCACACCAGAGCACCCGTCAACCACCCACTATCTAAATTTACCGAAATCTTTGAGTGAGGGCCACACTGAGTACCTGCATCCAGACACAGCTTGAGCACATCGAGCCGTCCGCTGTACACGGCAGCATGGAGTATGGAACTTCCCGCAGAAGTCAGGGCCGTCACTGAGGCACCTCGGCGCAGTAGGTACTGGCACAGCTCTTGTGTGAATGTTTGGGAAAAGGCAAGCAGATCAACAAAAGAACGGTCATTTAGCATGCAGGGAAAAAGAAAGACGGACAGACAGACAAATGATAACGATGGATAGCAAAGAAGTAAGGCCTTTGACGGAGTAGACCTAAAGAGAAGAACATTGATACAATAGCCGTCGTTTAGTGTAAGGGAAAATAATTATTTTATTTTTTTGGGTTTTAGTACATGTTTTACGGCACTTGCAACACAATAAGGTCATATAAGTGCCGAAGATTAGAGGTGTTACAAGAGAGTAACAAACACAAAAAAGAAGGAGGGGAGATAAAGACGAGAGATGTTTGATTGGAAAGAAGAAGCAAGAAGGGGGAAAATTAAGACAGACACACAGGAATAAAAGATAGATAGGAACAAAGCAGGCTGGACACATGGACTGACACGTTATTCCACACGACGAGAAAACACACTACATTATGTCTGAGGATAGAACCATCCTTCTTTTTCTCTTTGTAAAAAGGCTGGTGATTATCTCCAACATTATCTTGTTGAGGATGTCAGGATAAGGATAAGTGTTGTGGGAATGAAACAAACATTAACATTAGAAAACATCAGCACTTCAATCCGCTGCTCTGCGGTAATACAAAAAGTTACAGAAAGCATGCAAGATTTAGAATCTGTGTAAGTAAAATGTCAAAGTGGTCAATTTGTTATTCTTGTCAGCATTCTTTTGCATTCAAATTTTTTTAATTTAAAGGAAAACATGATGCCTTGGCATTTTGAGCCCCTGTTCACACTTTGTTTAAAAATCGTCAGTTAAAAGAAATAAAGTGAATTCTCTCGAGATGAAAAGATGGAAGTGTCCAACAGACATAAAGCTGCCTCACCGACATCTCCACCAAGGAGAGCCTGGTAGAGCGGGGTGCATCCCTCCGCATCACTTTTGTTCACATCAGCACCCGCGTCCACAAGTGCATAGACCAGTTTGTGCCGCTGTGCACCATCAGTGGACATGAACATACTGGAGACTACACAAGACAGAGAAAACATTCAAGTAACTCAGTGTAATAAGTGTTTTACAGCACTTGCAACACAATAAGGTCATATAAGTGTCGAAGATTAGAGGTGTTACAAGAGAGTAACAAACACAAAAAAGAAGGAGGGGAGATAAAGACGATAGATGTTTGATAGGAAAGAAGAAGCAAACCACACTAGAACACCCGCCAACCACCCACAAGTAACTCAATGTAACAGGCTCTTCAGTGACACTACAGAGGATTAAGTGCTGTTTAGCAGACCCAAGTCAAAGACCACACACTCCCACTTAAATAAAACAATAGGAACAGTAAAGTCCTAGCACTGCCACTAAACAGAACAACAGTCATTACTTATGAACCATGACAAGGTCTAAGCACTACCACTAAACACTCATAACACTCATTACTATCTGACTATGACAAGGATTTTGCACTCCGACTTAACAACACAATCCTTAACCGTGGACCATGAAAATGTGGTAACCTAGCACTCCCACTTAACAAAACGATAGTACATTTCTCGTTCAAGCATAGTAGAATCGTAAATGGGCTGACTCATGTCACGCTCATAACTGTGCCAGATCTACAACAGGGAACTGCTGCTTTTTCTTTCCTGATCCTTACTATTGTCATTTTCCTCTACTTCTTTTGTATGTTTGTCACTCTCCTGTGACCTGCTATTTCCGGGGTGCTTTGATAGTCCAAGCAGACCTTGTGCTGTTGAAGCCAGAGAGGTGAGCAGTCTAAGTCTGATTCCCTGAAAAGACTTCTCTGTTGACACCGACCCTTTGGCGCTCATATGACCTTATGCAGTTGCGAGTGCCGTAAAACCCTCTACTATAAAAAAAAAGAAGTCATTTAGAATATTCATTTCTTACAGATCATAACAATGACTTTGCACTCCCATTTAACAAAACAATCCTCATTAACCATGGACCATGACAAGGTCGTAACCTAGCACTACCACTTCGCAAAACAATATTTATTAGAATATTCATTACCTATAGACCATGACAAAGACTTTTCACTCCCACTTTAAAAAACAATCCTGTTACCCATGGACCATGGAAATGTTGTAACCTAGCACTCCCACTTAACAAAACAAGAGTCAATAGAATATTCATTTCTTACGGACCATAACAATGATTTTGCACACCCATTTAACAAAACAATCATCATTAACCGTGGACCATGAAAAGGTCGTAACCTAGTGCTACCACTTCACAAAACAAAAGTTATTAGAATGTTCATTACCTATTACCTATAGACCATGACAAGGACGTAGCACACCCACTAAACAAAACAATCCTCACGAGCCGTGATCATGGCCTAACTGTTCTACAAAGAACTCCCACTCCCACCAAACAAAACAAAGGCTAAAAGCCATGAACTAAAGAAATATACAGTCAACTTCTCAGAATCCACAGGTGGACTGTTGGTGCATGCAAAACACGTCTCATTGTTGTGGCACTCAATTTTACACTTGACTGTAAAGGCAATGTATAACTAAAGATATTCTTTGGCTCAATGAATCATTACTAATGTTATTTCCATTGAATTTTTCTGCACCAATCTAGAATACTTCCCTTTATTGTATACCAAATAATGAATAGCAAACAAAGCAACGCAAAATGAAAACTAAAAACTTGTATTACTGAAAAAAACAAACAAAAAAACCAAAAACAACAACAACAACAAAGTTTGTGTAGAGAATTCAAAACAAACTTTGTCGGATGAGCACATGCAGCGGAGCATCCTGTCTCCGATCAGCCAGGTTGACATCACATCCGGAGCGCACCAACAGTTCTGCAATGTCTGAGTGCTCCTGTGAGATAGCCGCTGGGGGAAGGCAACAGCATAAATATCACATATAATCACATTTCATCATACAGATATAATAAATGTAGTAGTGTTGATGGGGTTGTGAGTGAGGCAGGGGGGGGGGAGGATGGGTGGGGAGAGAGAGAGAGCTGTGTGGAGTATTTTAGTTTCTGTTCAAATACACTACATGATTCAGAAAAGACAACGCACACACGCACGCACGCACGCACGCACACACACACACACACAGACATACACACCCACAAAAACACACACACATAATATAGTCACATATCTCTACATGACACACCAGTGGCTACACATCAAATGAAACACATTTCACCTCACATTATTCGCAGGTCCACAAGTAGCCACACACCAGCAAATGATACACTCATAGTTCCACATCACTTTATGATACACCATCAACCATTTATCATCTAATAATAATGATAAAAATAAATAGCATTTGCTTAGCGCATATATTCCTGCTCAACAGCAAGCTCTATGAGCTTTACAAGGGACACAATGTCGGGCCTCTGGTGGAATTCCAACTCACGACTTTATGGTTGCAAGTCTGAGAGCCTATCCACTTGGTCACCTACACATCTAATAACATGCCTGTAGACCCCCCCCCCCTCACACATGATACACATAAAGCTACACATCCCTTAAATCATGAACAGTTAACAATCTATCATTAAGTGACACACATGTAACCACACAATGCATCAAAGAGCACACATATAATATAGCCAAACAGCATTAAATGACACGCATGTAGCCAGTGACATACAGGAAGCCACACATCATCAAATCTCACACACAAAAACACACAGCCACACATCATTGTGTCAATAAAAATCAAGATGGATAGACAGAAACAACAGAGGCAGAGTAGTAAAGTTCTAGAACCTACCAGTGGCACCTTCCCACCATCCATCTCATCATAAAATCACTCTCTCTCTCTCTCTCTCTCTTACTCTCATACGTACATTTATACACACACATGCGTGTGCACACACCCACACATACGCACACATATACATGCACACACACACACACGACACCACATCTAATCATACAAAATACATACATTGAAATCACTTGTACATGAATCAATTGTGCATGAATCAATAATACACATCTCGGTGGTACACCTCCCAGCTATGAATTAGTTCTACATGATTCAGTTGAACCATAAAATAAGTAGTACTTGACTCAGTAGTGCATGCCATAGTTGCACACGAATAAGCTGAACACAACTAACTGCTATACTGATATCTGCGATGTTGTTTTTATCGATCCAGTGAGCTCTGTGATAAATGCAGTAGAAATTGTCTAAGACGGCCACCCACTGTTGAGGCGAAAAGTGGCTGTCTAATACAGGTGGACATATTGCAGTGTCATTATAATGGGGGTTTTTTAATGTAAGAGGGGAACTGAGAAACGGCTATTTGTACAGGTGATTGTCTTTTATACAGGTGGCCGTTAGAACAAGATCGACTGCACTTAGTTGTACAGTCGTACATAATTCTGACTCTGTAGTATATGACTCAAACAATTATAGCTGAGTGTGACTCTGCAGTTCATCATGACAACTCAGTGGTACATGACTTAGGGGTGGGTATACATGGCTTACCCAGCAGCGGAGTGAGTCCTTTGGTGGTACCCAGGTCGAGGTTGGCTCTGAAGCGGACCAGTTCCGTGAGAACATCCACATTTCCTGTTGCAGCCGCCTCTAGCGCAGCCGTGTGACCTTGCCGACTCTGGCAATCCACTTTGCAGCCTGTTACACGCCATCATTCATCAAGGCACCATTAGATTGAGTTTATATATATATATATATATATATATATATATATATATATATATATATATATATATATATATATATATATATATTATTCTTGTTTGTTTGTTTTAAGTAAAGAGAAGCAAATTGACATTATAATCGTCATTCAGAGCAGAGAAAAAGCAAGACAGACATACAGGAAGAACAAAAGGAAAAGACCAGAAATAAGACCAACTGTTGGTGCCTTCAAACCACCTGCATTTGATTTATGGAAGGTTTTTTAAGAGGCAGGACCTCCAAATTAGAAGTCCATTATATCTGAAAAGTCTGAGCTGAAAGGGTGGAGAGCCTTAAAAACTTCCCAAACAACCAACATCCAGAATGCCCCTTTGAGGATTCAAACTAGAGCCATCCCCTCCATAGTCCAGCACGATACCAACTGAGCGAAAGATGCACCCACTCAGAAAGGAGAGGTAGAAGATAACACTAGAGGGCCCATCAAACAACTACTCACATCACAAGATATTTAGCTTATTTGATTGAGTAAAGAGAAGCACATTGATACAATAGTAGCCATTTAGCATTGAGAAAACGTAACAAGGACAGACAAAAACAACAGAAAGAAAGAAAGGAAGTAGGACCTAGCAGAGGCACCCTCAGCCACCAGTTGTGACTTATAGACATATATATGCTAGGAGACACAAAGTCTAAGGGGAGTGACCAGAACAAGACTGATACGACACCAGGACAACAGACACACAAATCTAGAGACACTGCACCAAGTACATCAGTCGGTGTCTCATGCAAGACTCATAATGGGAAACCTGTCGCTTTGCATTAAACTTTGGGATAAGGGAGAAAGGTAAGGAGAGGAAAGGTGAGGGGAGAAAATTAAAGAGAAAGACTGATAGAGGTCAGAGAGGAAAAGATGGCATGGGGGGACACTGGGGAGGAAAGGGTGAGGGAGGACGGAGGAGGAGACAATGGAGAAAACACAACTACAACTAGACATAGGAATGAAGGCTAAGATCAGGTGCCTTAGCAAAGGATAATGCATAGTAAAAACTGCTTCAACTATGGTTTATCTCCTCTGACATATGTCCTGCAACAGTGAATATAAACATTTTTAGAAAACAAACCCCTCCAAAATTGCCCAATTAAGTTAAAGTTTCTGTACCAATGCAAAATTTGCATGTGATGAAGATTTTACTTTTAGTAGAGGTTTTACGGCACTCGCAACTGCATAAGGTCATATGAGCGCCAGAAGATTAGAGGTGTTACAGGAGAGTAACAAACATATAAAAGAAGAAGGGGAGATAAGGACGATAGATGTTTGATAGGAAAGAAGGAGCAAACCACACCAGAGCACCCGCCAACCACCCACTGATGAAGATTTACACTACAAAAAAAATAAAAGGGATTCAAACTGAGGAGCAGTAATGTCAATCGGAACCTGACAAACAAATTCAAATTTCGGAAGAAAACTTTAGAGCATTGCGGTCAAAAGCTCCAGCCAATCTGTGAGTGGGCTAACAAATACGTACCGGCTTGCAGTAAAGCTGTGACCACTGACACATGACCCGCCTCAGCGGCCATCATCAATGGTGTCCGGTGACTGAAGTCTATCCAGTCTAAGTCTGCCCCAGATGACAAAAGACTTTCCACCACAGGCAAACATCCTGCCTGACAAACTGTGTGTAGCGGGTTCAAGCCTTTCTTGTTCGCCAAATTAGCATCACAGCCAGCCTTTAGGAGAATCTGTCACGCATGAGAGAGGATATGTCCAAATGAAAGAAGGAAAAATAGAGAAAAGAGACGTGTTAGCTTGACAAAGCTAAAAGGGGCAACAATGAAGCAATGACATGAACAACAACTAAATGCTTTTTCATGAAATATGAGCTTTTAAAATTAAACTCACTTTGGCAATTTTCTCAAAACCTTTCAGTGCACAGACATTCAGAGAGGTGTTGCCCAATTCGTTCTGTGTATCCAACTCGGCTCCACTGTCAACTAACAATTGTGCCACTTCGGCAAAGCCTCGCCAGCATGCCATGTTGAGCAGGGAGTTGCCATTGGCATCTGCTTGGTTCACATTCGCTCCCTGAAAACAGGACAGGAACAAAGGGTAAATGTTTACATCAAGTAGAACCGATGACAAAAATATCATGTCAATGCTTTCAGAAAATGCCATGCTATATTGGAGGATACAATAATCAGTCTATAAAAAAGAGTTCAGAACTGATTCAGATTTGAAGTTAAAAGTCATGAAGTTCTAGTGCCTAAATCAACATAACATAACATAGCAATGCATCCTGGAACATATCATGTCAGACTACCTTGTCATTATCATTAATTATCAATTTTTTAAAAATTACACAGTTTCGAAGACATACGGAGGCCTTAAAAATACCTTTTCCCTCAGTATGATACATCTGGAGACACACCTATGAATATCTATCAATCAAAATGACATTTATCTGTTGACGTACATACATGTAGATCTAGTCTTACCTTGCTAATCAACAAAACACAGTTTTGAAGACACATTTCTCAACCAATATGATGATGACAGATATAAGAGACACACCTATGATGACTGCCTTCTCAGTCAATATTCACTGGCAACACTACCCATACACGACTACCTTCTTAATCAAAACAAAACAGTCTGGTGACGCATATGTAAGACTACCTGCTCAATCAACATATATTTGTATTCTCTGGAAATACACAGGCCTACCTTCTGAATCAACATGACACATATCTCGAGCGCGCCACAACAAACTGCCAGCTGTAGTGATGTCTGACTGTTGTACTGGAAATCAACATCAAAGTCTGCACAGAGAATTTCTGTCACAGTTTGGATATCTTTATCCGTTATGGCACTTTGAAGCCGTCTGATGTTTCTTCTCTTCTCTCTTTTGTCAAATCCAGCTTTACCTCCTGCATTATTTTGCGCTCTTGAAGATGAACCTGAGAAATAAAATATACAAAGTAGACAATCATAGATCAATTACAAGTCAACCGAAGTAAACATCATCATGCACACTATAAATCCACCATGACAGCCACAGAGGTACCAGTATGGCATCCTTCAGTCTAAGGAGACTATGGATCTGCACCATAGGAGATTTCAGGTTCGAGAGCAGCGCTTTCTGTAGCTGAACAGGCCTACACAGGAATGGTAGTCCCTGTTGCAGTGGCTGCACTTGTGAGTGGTGTCTTCCTGCGTTAGTAGCCTCTGGCTGTTCTTTTTGTTCTTTTGGCGACGGCATTTGTCCTCAGCAGCCTGTCACAGTCGGGCTTCATCTCTGATGAGACCAGCTCGCAGCGCCTGTCTCCAATTGTCGCAATCGCACGCCAGTGTTTCCCACCTCCCAGTGTTTATATCGAGCTATTTCGTACCTCGCTTGCACACATCTTTTGAAGCGAAGATGGGGGCGCCCTTGCGCTCACTTTCCGGAGGCCAGCTCACCGTACATTAAGTCCTTTGGGATTCTTCCATCCGGCATGCGATGCACGTCACCAAGCCAGCGGAGTCGGCGCTGCCGGAGCACGGTAGGCAGACTTGGGATCTGCACATGGGTGAGAACTTCGACGTTGGTGACTTTGTAGCTCCACTGTATATCAAGGATGCGCATATAGAATGTGTTGAGCCTTTTTTCATGTCTGTTGTACAGGGTCCAGGTCTCGCTTCCATACAGCAAGGTGCTGAGGACGCAGACCCTGTAGATGGCTAACTTGGTCCGAATTGTCAGCTTCAAGTTTTCTCAGGCTCTCTTTCTCAGCCTTGCGAATGTCGTGGCTGCACGCTCGATCCATTTGTTGATCTCAGCATCCAAAGACAGGCTGTCTGTCACGGTTGAGCAAAGGTAGGTGAATTCATGTACCACCTCCAGCTCGTGTTTGTTGATCGTCATTATGTTGCTGGAGGCTGCTATAGATACAACATCTTACGAAATGCATCATCAGTCACTGGGCACGCATGCATATAATATATTAGGTTCGGTTTTAAAAAGAGTTATAATGTCACTTGCAACACATTAGGGCCATATATATATACAGTGGAATCCTGTTATAACGAGACGTAGGGGACCGGTGCAAAGTGTTCGTTATACCAGGATTCTCGTTATAAGGAATCCAGTAATAAATTCAATGGAAATAATAAAGTAGGCCTAATCTATCAGTTTGGTTTTCGGTTTATTTCTTTTTGTTATCTACCCTGACGATGACATTGTTCAACATGACCTCTAGGTCTCACTTGATCAAGAATTAAATCAGGTTTCTTTCTCAAGCGCTAGCGATGTTGACAGCACGGCGTTGGCGATCAGAAAGAATGCGATCTGGGCTAACTCGCCCGCTGTGTTGTCCCCCACCCCACCACACCCGTGGTGTGTTTCGTCTGCATGTACACATTCACTCCATCCATCACAGCATTGTAACCTCTCCATCCCCGCATCGGAGAAGTGAGGGCATGGGTAGTGGTAGGCCAAGATAATCTAAACTAGGCTGGCCTATCACATGATGCGTTCTGCTTGTCTGCGCTTACCACACCCTCCCCACTCATTCGCTCGGGCCATCATTGTTGGCAAACGTGGGCTCTCCTATTCTTTGTTTTGCTCAAGGAGTTGATGTAAGGTCCTAGGTTTCGCTAGATCACCAACAGGTTTCTCAACTGGCGAGGTTTATTATGTATAACTGGCCTGTGCGCTGTGCACAGCAGCAGCAATATTCCGCTATAACCGACTCCCGTGTTTGTCCGATTGGGCTATAGCAGTATTTTATTTACAAAGATAAAAAAGGGATAAAAAGGGGTTTTAGAAAAGTGTCTTAATAACAGACTTCTCGTTGTTTCAGGACACGTTATAAGTGGACTCCACTGTATATATATGATATAATTTTAAAAGTGCCAAAGATTAGAGGTGTTGCAAGAAAGTAACAAACACAAAATAGGAGGAGAGATCAGGACGAAGATAGGAAAGAAGGAGCAAACCACACACCAAGGCATGACCCACCAATTCCGCTTGCTGTCAGTACAGTTGTGAAATTTTAAACCAAATATGGTTTTAATGTGCCAAACAGAATAATATAGATCTAGAAATCTATAGATCTGCAAAGGAAGAATGTCTGTAGAGACATCATGAAATATGAAACTATTGCAAAAAAAAAGGAAGAATTTAAAAAGAGAGAACAAAACAATAACTTAATCTTATGTTTTATGTAACGCCTTACTCATTGAAGATGGAGATCAGGTTTAATTAGCACCTGCAGCAACGGTTGGAAGTAGACTGTTCTTTCCACACCCTGATGCTATGTCAGTACTGCTGTGGGCCAACGTGTGTGGACTACGATGCTGCAACCTTTCCCCCCCTCAAGACTTTGTATTTTATGAAAATGTCCACTTAAAATGAAAGTGAATTACAACTAGAGTCTAGATTTAAATCTACAATCTAGATCTAGCTCATGAAAGTTAGGTTAAAATGGAAGGGCCAAGTTGTAAAGGCCAGTCGCTCGGTACTCTTCGAGTCTTCCTCCCAGTGTGGTCTCCTCTTGATTTACCAGCCCACGTTTTACAAATACTTTTGTCTGGCTAGACTCTAGAGTCTTCTAAGGCTTAGGCTAGGTTATCTAATTTTTAAAAACTAACACGGTAGATCTCTCTTAATCTAGATTTATCTATATTCTAGATCTAGATTGTAAGTTAATAGTACATTTATTCTCATTTAACTCCATTGTTTTAAGCCTATTATTTTTTAATTCATACACTGTTATTCCAAGTAAAATAGTCAAGTAATGATGATCAGTTCAACCCGATCGTTTCTCTGCAAGCGTTGGCATTTGCCCTGATCTCTTTATTTTAAAATTAATTTTCTCAAACTCAGCTAAATCTAGATTTAGATCTAGATCTAGATCTAGATATCTAGAGTCTATATATGGTGACCAGTACTTTCAGGGCCATTTGCACGATATTATATGGATGAAACGACCAGTTGAGCAAAGCCAGGAGGAATGTTACAAGTACAAAGTCAGCCTGAGAGCGTGCTGGCTCTCTCCTGGTAAAACAGCTGGTGTTGCTGCAGCAGTCATCCGTTCGTCTAACAAACAAAAACAAACAATAGTCAAGGCCTTATTATAATAGACAATCTCTAAATAACTGCAGACAACGGGTCCCCCAAAAAATCCTGGTTATATCCCCTGGCACATCAAGCTCGTGCACTCTTCTCACCTGAAAGTAAACTTTTATATTGATTGAGTAGTGCCAAATTGAACAGTAATAGAAGATAAACATTACAGTAATTAACGCTAGTTAATGTCCACAATTCTTTGCTGACAATAGTATAATTTAGAAGGAAAAAGTAATATTCATCAAAATTGTCCAATAAGATTTATTCTTTTGGTAAAGGGTGATATTTTTTTTAGTATATGAGAGCTTTTGACTTAATGTAAGTGATAATAGAAACCAAAGGTGAGTTGACTTAGTATAGCTTCCGCCAAAGCCATACCTGGCCATCAGCTATCGGTTTCTTCGTTCGGACTGCACGATGGCTTCTATAACTTCTGCACAAAACCGAAGAGTGACAACTTTTGATGTGTTTGTTGGAAATCTTCCTCCAGATGCGGATCAGGTTACTTTTGTTTTTGAGTTCATCACCTTAACGTGCCTTGCACTGTCGCTTCTTAAAGCAAAACCGCATTAGGGTAGTTTACTCACTCTAGTCTCCTCCCACTCCCCACTCACTCATCCAGGGGTCTCAAGACTCCTCCCGACTCACCGAAGACCCCTCCCGACTCACCGAAGACCCAGGCCCATGAGTCATTCGTTTAAATAAAATATAATTGATTTGAAGTCTAGTCCTGAAATCTTTTGGTGTTGAAATGTAGATCACCTGTTGAATATATTGTGCCTATAGTCCTATAGGTCTAGACTGACTAGATATAGATCTAGAATCTAGATCTAGAATCTAGGCCCAACTTATGACTTATGATTCTGGTTGTTTCTTGGTCTTGAAAAGGAAGTGGCTCACCCGGGGTGAGAATAATAAAACGATCGACCTCTCACCTCGGGTGAGACTTGCCAGCGTTGGTTATTCTCACCCCGTGTGGAACAGAACAAGACCTGTTTTTCCTATTTTTGGAATGGGAGTGTATACAGACCCGGTAACCGGGAACAAAAGTAATACAGACCCGGTAGGGGAACTCTTTTGTGATTTCGGAAAGTTTCAGCGCCCTTTTGGCTCAGGGTAGACCTAGAGGTTCTTCTAGATCTATGGCCTAGGTCTAGATCTAGACAGACAGACATAAATCATTGATTAGTTTCAAGGCTAGCCTCTAGATTCTAGTTCTAATCTAGAGTAGATCCTGGGGTGCGATATACCATAAGCGATCTTTTGTTGATATCTCCGGAAGTTACTGGTGGATCTTCATGATTTTTTCACCAGAAGAGTTAAAAAGGCCTCCTCTATACGGTGTAGCTATCATACAAAACCCAGCAGTTTAAAATTCCTATGTTGTGGTGGTGTTTGTTTGGTACCGTGTGTCTGGTTTTGGTGCGCAAGGTTTCTGTTTGGGTGCAACATATCGTCTGGTTGAGTGCGCAATAGTACCATGTATACGGTTTGGTGGATTAACAAAGAAGAAATATGGACCAATTCAGACTAGTTTTCACCTTGGTGAATACATTTTGTAATAATATAGGACAAATGTCATAAAACAATATTAAAATTAATGCTAAATCAAAGCCACCCATACACAAACACATCTATCATATTAGGCAGTGACATACACAACATAGAGTCAACTCACATAAATACAGCTGGCTTCCTGTTTACATGAAATAAAAAGTATCGATTGTCTCAGTTTCCACGAACTCCACCAACACAGTTTTTACAATAAAAGTCTTCATTCATAGTAGCATCGGATGGCAAGCCGGAGCAGGTAAAGTGAAACCAGGCATCACACAGGTCACACTGAATCCATCTGCTGTCACCTTCCTCCTTGTTGCACTGCTTGCATCTGCTCTCCTCAACACCAAGTTCCACATCATCATCACTTTCCAAAACCATGCGTTCTTCTTCTTCTTCACTGCTACTTTCCCTTCCTCTCTTTTTATTACTATTTAGCAGTCGCTCCAACTGCTTCCTCTCCTGTGTTTCCTTTTTCTATTGTATCTTTCTCTCTCGCTCAACTCTAGTTTTTTCCTGACGCTCCTTCTTCTCTTGCTCTTTTCTTGCTTTTGCTTCCTCTCGATCTTTCTTCCTTCTCTCTTTCATCTCTTTCTCCATCCTGGCCTTGTCTTCCTTTCCTTGTAAGAAGTTCCTGTACTGATCTGAACTGAAGGCCATGGTCAATGAGGAGTTCTTTTTGGAAGCTGTGCCCCTCTTGTTCTTTGGGAGTTGAGGTGGGGCAAACAGGTCATCCAAGCTTTTGCGTCTGGAGGGAACAGATGAGGCTGGGATGCCCTGGTCTTGAACCTCGAGTACACCTGCTGCCACCAGTGTCCTCTGAAATTCTTTGTCCTCTGACGTCTTTCTTTCCTTCAGCATATCCAGGTAGCTTTCACATCTGATGATGCTTAACATGGAGGACAGGCGCAGAAGGGAACTGACGGCATCGAGCTTGGTTGTAGCCACCTGAGGGAGGGCAGTAGCTGCAGAGGTGGCTTGGGATGTGGACTGTGCTAGTGGTAGAGGAGTGGCTTGGGTAGCTGGTTGTGGTTGGAGAGTAGGTACTGGAGATGGAGTCGCTGGTGCTAGAGATGGAAGAGCAGCAAGAGGTGTCGGTGATGCTGCTGGTGGTGGTGGAGTCGCTGCTGGTGGAGGTGGAGTCGCTGCTGGTGGTGGTGGAGTCGCTGCTGGTGGAGGTGGAGTCGCTGCTGGTGGAGGTGGAGTCGCTGCTGGTGGAGGTGGAGTCGCTGCTGGTGGAGGTGGAGAGGCCCGTGGCATTAGTGAAAAGTATTTGTGCAGTCCTGAAGTGGATGCTGATGACAATGAAGGGGTTGTTGACGGTGGAGGCAAGGCTCTTGGTGGTGTTTGAGTTTGTTGAGGGATATCAGGAGTTGCTGAGGTGCCTTCAGGGCTGGAGAAGAAACTCCTACTGGCCTCCATTTTGCCACTTGTCAGAGGGCTCTCTGGGTTAAAAGGAAAGATGCCTGAACGTCTGAAACCTTTCAGGCTGGCTTCTGGCCTGGCACAATGCTCCCACACTTTTTTCAACAGGTGCGAAAAATTGGCCGCTGATGGCGTCTCCCCTGTCTCCTCCAGGTGCTGCTTCACCACCACCGACCATCTTGCCTTCATGGAACCGAATACCGATAGGTCTAGAGGCTGAATTATGTGAGAGGCATGAGGAAGAAGGCCATAGAGTATGATGCCATGTTCCTCACACATCTCGAGCGTGCCAATGTCACTGTTGTGACTTGTGTGTCCATCGACGAAAAGGACGACTGGCTTTGGCTTTTCCGCGATGAATGGTATAAATACATCCTTTATGAAGGTGTGGAAGATGGTAACGTTCACCCATCCATTGCTTGATAGCTGCATGAACGCGTCCTTGAAGCCAGCAAGGAAGTTGGCTGAGGGCATTCTTTTCCTCGGAAAAACCAGCAGGGGATTCACGTATTCCCCAGCAGCTGATGCACATGCCAACACTGTTATCTGATTCTTCGTGTTATTGCAGATGTTATACACATGCTTCATGCCCACCGGGGCCAGGACTCGCTTGGAGACAGGTGCGAACGCGAAACCAGTCTCATCTGCGTTGAAGATTCTATCTGGGCTTTTGAGGAGGGCTGGGTCTCGAGAGTCGAAATATTTCTTCATTTCCCTTCAGTCCCTAATGTCCTTCTCCTGCACTAGGGCTCGCTCCTTGCCAAGAGCTTGAGGGGATCGGAGGCTAAGTCCTGGGTGACGTTTTTTGAAGTTGGTCACCCAGTCCCTACCAGGAAGGCCATCTTCTCTCCTTACTGATGCTCCTCGCAGGTCTAATATTTCCTTCACCTTTTGCCGCACGTCTTCGTGGGTGCGCCCCATTGACCGTTGGGCATGAACTTTGATCCACATGACCAATCTCTCCTCCTCCTCGTCAGTGAGCAGCTTATGAACTTGAGGCTTGACGGCCCTTCTCCCCCGCACCTTGTCACCCAAAGTGGAGAGGGGAATTTTAAACGTTTTTGAAGCACCATATAGTGTCATACTCTTGGACCGGACCAGCTTCACTGCTTCCTCTATTATTTCTTGAGAGTAATTTTTATTTGGTTGGGCCATATTCAGTGGTTTATGGGAGATTTCCTTACACTGTGTTGTTTTGATAATTGATAAGAAAGAAAAGGTGCTGTGGACACAAGAAGGGGAAAGAAGAAAACAAGAATTAGACTAGACCAAGAATAGTATTCTTAAACTTAAAGGAAAAGAACAAAAAAGAAAAAGAAGAAGACGTGGAAAGAAGAAATTGGTCATTTTGGGGATTAAATGACAACCATGTCCATATCCCATTTCCATATATATTGATTAATTTTGACATTAATACATTCTGATCATCTTCCATTGGCAATATAAAGCATCCAAAAGGAAAGAAAACAGTCTGTTTCAGTGCGCAACGCAGGTCCTAAAGAAATAAGTGAAACAACTAAGGCTACAAGAAGCCACACTGTCAATGCCAAATGTCAAAAGCCGATATTGCGCACCAAAACGGACGGGGCAAATTTGGTCCGCTTCAGTGCGCAACCCCATCGGGCATGTTCCAGGCATTCAGAAGCAGCCTGCGATCGTTTGGGCTCGATTTTAGTGTACATTCTACGATACATAAGAGCTAGATTAACCAGAAGAGCTAAATAATCGACCACTCAAGCGCTTAGTAATTCACCGACTCCTATTACGAAAACAATCAATATGAAGGGGCAAAACTTACTGACACCGTAGAATCACGTGTGTAGACAGGAACCTCCAAAACGAAAGTGCAATTTAGTTGTTACTGCGCATACTCACATAAAGTAACCACGTTTTCGCTGTTCTTATCCAAAACAAAGCAGGAGACCGGGGGTTGCGCACCCAACAAGGTGCGCGGTGATGCGGTTTGACTCTAGATCTAGATCTAGATCTAAATGAAGATTGCGGGCATGTTCTTTTCGATGAACGATCGTTTTTCCTCCGTTTTGGACTTGGAGGAATCACAACTTGAAGAAAAGGACAATGTCATAATTTCAATCGAGCAGTCACTCTCTCTCTCTCCCTCTCTCTCTCTCTCTCTCTCTCTCTCTCTCTCTCTCTCTCTCTCTCTCTCTCT